GAACCTCCACCACCCCTTGCACTAAAGGATCGCCTGTGTTTAGCTTTCAGTAAAAGCCCCCACAAAGAATCATTTGGAACAATGAAGATAGATTCAGAAATTACCTTGAAGACTATGGATGCTGCTGCCAGGGCGGCCGCTGTCTCTCCAGCCAACTCACTTCCTGAAGAATAAAAGAAAGGAACACTGCAGCAGATCTACTGGCCTGTACTTGGCAGGTCCTTTTCAAACCCAAACCCATTAAAAGATATTCGCCCAACTCACATGTTATCCAAGAAATAAGCTTCGATAACCCTATTAACTCGAGTGCAAGTCCCACTCACATCCAACTAAATTTATCCAATTTCAGACGTTTCTGAGCGAAATGTTGGTGTAATAAAGTAGTATGTGCAAGAAAAAATGTTAAAATGTTACATAATATCAACAAGTTGATGAGTAAGATAGTCTACTGTGTAGGTGAAACTGTTGCACAAGTGTTTTATCAAGAAGAAACTGACAGGTTTATAAAATTGACCGCAAAAATAGTATTTAGCTGGGAAACTGGCTTGTCCATCATATGATTTTAAACTAATTTAAAAAATGTAATAGCTTTTAGCCTCTTGTTTTGGTAATCAAAGTCAATTTAAACTCTAGCTCCTAGATTATATGGTATTTTAACAAGACGTCCATATATTCTACGAGTTAAATAATTTTGTTTTTAATATTTTACTAAATGAAGAGAGAATTATGTTATAATATTATAAGCAGCTCTGTGATTCTTCACCTTCACCTGTAGAAGAAGCGTCTTTCTCTTTCTGGTTTACATATCTTCTTTTTTCTTAGGGGAATGTCCCTTGAATATTTTTTTTTTTTTTTCAACAAGTCGGTCGTCTCCCACCGAGGCAGGGTGACCCAAAAAAAGAAAGAAAATCCCCAAAAAGAAAATACTTTCATCATCATTCAACACTTTCACCACACTCACACATTATCACTGCTTTTGCAGAGGTGCTCAGAATACAACAGTTTAGAAGCATATATACGTATAAGATACACAACATATCCCTCCAAACTGCCAATATCCCAAACCCCTCCTTTAAAGTGCAGGCATTGTACTTCCCATTTCCAGGACTCAAGTCCGACTATATAAAAATAACCGGTTTCCCTGAATCCCTTCACTAAATATTACCCTGCTCACACTCCAACAGATCGTCAGGTCCCAAGTATCATTCGTCTCCATTCACTCCTATCTAACACGCTCATGCACGCTTGCTGGAAGTCCAAGCCCCTCACCCACAAAACCTCAAGAGCTACACGCATCCGAACCTTTGCTTAGAAAGAATTAACTGAGATATATTCAAGGGTGTTGTGGTTCACCCTTGAATATATCTCAGTTAATTCTTTCTAAGCAAAGGTTCGGATGCGTGTAGCTCTTGAAAATGGTGAACGTCAATAAACAAAGCAAATACCTGCTCCATCACAAATGTAAAGATATGAAAAGGATGAATTTCTTAAGCTTAAACCGTCTACAGAGGACGTTAGGTAAAAATGGCACATGTGCAACTAATGCGGCATTTTACTGTGGAAATGTTTCACTCTGCAGGAGCTCTGTCAAGCCGTTACAGTCATTTTGTCTGCTGTGCAGGCGAAACGTTTCAACAATAAAAAATACCAAAGTGCTGCACATGTCTATGCATCAATAACTGTCTTTACACAAAAGTTCACAGACATTGCATCTCAGATGACCATGTGAACTGCAGCATCCTCACCCACTCCAGAACGTAAGCATAGTGCTTCCCACCTCCAGAATTAGGTCCGGTAGACACAGTCATAAATATTGCACGAAGAGTATATACAAATGCTACCCTACCTTGAAGGGTTAATTCACTGATAGTGCTGAAAGAGGACAACTATCCTCGCCCACAAACCAAATCTGGTTACCACTCTACGAGTGCAGAGTTTCCCCTATAACACTAATACCTCTGATATGTGGCAATTATGAGTTTTGGGCAATAAGTTATTTCAGTCACTTCAAAACAGAGGTACAGCCTCTCCTCACTTAATGACAGAGTTCCACTCCTAATACCGTGTCGATAAACGAATTTGTTGCTAAACGAGGAGCATGCTATAATGGTAGTGGGTTTATGTCAACCATTTTTTGATATTGTTTTAATGTCACCCTTGCATCATTTATAACATTTTTAGTGTATTTTTAAATGTTTATAAAGTAGTGTATTGTATACTGTAATAAACAGAATAGAGGAAATCGGCTCTAACATACATTATTTAGGTATGAATACTGGTCAGAGCCCGTCATAGATCCGAGTCGTTTGTAAACGAGTACATCGCTAAGTGAGGAGAGGCTGTATTTAGAAAAGAATAATGTGAACAAAGGGCATGTATGTTCAAGGTCTACTGAGTCCACTCTAAAGAATTCTTAAATCGCACCCAAAGGAATTCTTAATTCGCATCTTAATAAGAATAATAATCTATTTCTACACAGTTGACATCACTGACATACTATATAGAAAGCCGCTTGTTATGCAGACCATTTCGGGCAAATTAAATCAGTTTTGTCCCAGGATTTGACCCACACCAGTCCACTAACACCCAGGTACCTATTTTACTGCTAGGTGAGCAAGGACAGCAGGTGTCTTAAGGAAACACATCCTAATGTTTCCAACCGTACCAGGGACTGATCCCCGGACCTCTGTGTGTGTGAGAATTCCTAAATCACTCTATGAAGCTCTTATTTCGCCCCCTAATAAATTCTCACTCACACCCTAAAGAATGATTAATATGTACACAAAGGAACTCACGAATTCTACACAACATAAACATTGCCACGACTACTAACCTGGATGTTCCTCGTCGATTTTATAGGAAGGTCTCTCCATGGTCATGTCCTCAGGACGACCAGCGTTACTATTATGATCTATGTCTCCTTTTCCCACCTGAAATGAAAACATTTATCAACTAGCCAGAAGTGTGCCATGAACTTGGTCCTCGTAGGTCTGAAACGTCGTCATTAGTTTCTATGTGCGAGTTATTTATGAATTGAACTTTAAATTTTTTGATATTGTATTTTTTTTTTTTTTTTTTTTCAACAAGTCGGCCGTCTCCCACCGAGGCAGGGTGATCCAAAAAAGAAAGAAAATCCCCAAAAAGAAAATACTTTCATCATCATTCAACACTTTCACCACACTCGCACATTATCACTGTTTTTGCAGAGGTGCTCAGAATACAACAGTCTAGAAGCATACACATATAAAGATACACAACATATCCCTCCAAAACTGCCAATATCCCAAACCCCTCCTTTAAAGTGCAGGCATTGTTGATATTGTATGTATTGTTTAATTTATTATTTGCACTCGTTATTCTTAGTATTTATTTTGTCTTTCTGATACTTAGTTGTGCTTCCTTATTTCTTCTCTACTCCGCTACTTACTCCTATGTATCTTTACGTACTGTATTAGACTATATATTGTCCTGAAAACGTTTCGGTCCTTGGACCTTGAAACGTTTCCAGGACCGAAGCATTTTCTTAGTGTTTGCTTGCTTGTCATATTTACAATACTAGTCAGTATGTATTTCCCAAGTTTCACCAAATATCAACAAATCATTTCGTCCCACACTGCTGCTAAGTCTTTCTTAACTGTCTGTACATAAGGAGTTTGTAAACTGCAGCTGAAGGGATGCTGACCTGACCGTAGAACTCATTCTTGGCTGTGTAAGCTTTCAGGAAGTAGTCTGTGGCCCACTTGACTCCTACTTGACCGTACTCAGTCTGTCCTGTGGGGGTAAACACAAGAGTTATTAAACCTTATCCAAACATGAACACGTTCTATACTCAGGGCGAGGTATGACCCATACGGATTTACCATCTCACGAATATCATAATTAATAAAAATACACAATCCACACACAAGCTTCTTTTTCGTATGTGTGGGTTATTTGTGTATTGTTTCAGTCACGGTATTGTGCCTTTGATTCTTTAATAATAATAAGAGTTTCGAGTCTGGCAGAGTACTGGGAGGTCATGATAAGCTTTACTGGCGTTATCTAGTTTACTGATAAGGAATGACTGGAAATGCATGACCCATACGTCTTATGGAGCTCATTGTAACTTTACACTACAAGATCTTCTATAAACACATCGGTACTGGGTATGGTAATTAATGAATGACCTGAATTGCTTTACCCAACAGGGAATATTAGAGATTGTATTAATAAGGCATACAGTCAACGACATTTAGTTGAGAAGACGTCCACTAGGAACTTCATTAATTCGTCCCTGTGGGTGAAACGTCTTCCCAATAAAATGACATAAACCACATGTGTTTTTTTATATTGTTGTCGGTATATTCTACCACTGATATTCATTAGGGACAATAAACACGCAGTTCAACTCACCAGCAATTTCGTATCCTTCAGCGAAGTCTATGAGGCCCCAAGCCAACATAGTGGCCGTGAAAGCCATCGGGAACCCAAACTTGACTCTGTCACCAGCTGTAAATAAGAATAATAATTATTATCATTTCTACAAGTACATGATACAACTTATACAGACCATAGCTGATAACACTGATATACTATATAGAAAGCCCCTTGTTATGCAGAGCATTTCGGGTAACTTAGGTTAATTTTGTCCCCAGGATGCGACCCACACCAGTCGACTAACACCCAGGTGCCTATTTATTGCTAGGTGAACATGGACAGCAGGTGTCTTAAGGAAACACGCCCTGATGTTTCTACTCGTACCAGGGATCGAACCATGGACATGCAATGTGTGAGCTGAGTGTGCTACAAACTGAGCTGAAATTAGTTAGTTACTGGTAATGTGAAAACGTGTTAGGTAAAAGGACACAAGTGCAACTAGTGTGACATTCTATTGTGACAACGTTTCGCTCTCCAGGGGCTTTGTCAAGCTGTAGTTTACAAGATGCAACATCTATAAAGTATAGACATCTCCAGAGGCTACTAGAAGGTCAACTTAGTGATCACCCTCAAATATCTAGCTTGTTTTGGTTTCGCCTTTTT